TTTGCTATGAGGGCCAATATTAAGCATTGGTTTTGAGCAAAATAAGTTTTTTTTCCCCTTTGAAAAATGGCTGCCTCCTCTCCTTCTTTGCAGAGAGCACTGGAGTTGGACATAGGTGGCACAGAGGTTACACAGAAAAGGAAACCCTAGTTCTTCTTTACTAGCTCCCTCTTGCTAGTGAGAGCAACTGGGCCATTCAGGAAAAGTAGAAGAAGAGAGGCTCCTTCAGGATGCCTCTTATCCTATGTTCTCGACCCACTGCTATCTCCTTTCTTTCCTTCCTGACAGCATCATCATGACTGCCTCCTCCATCGTGCTTGCTTTGTTCCTGATGCCTCTTTGTCTGTGGATCTATAGCCGCGCTTGGATCAACACCCCATTCGTGCGCCTGTTGCCTCTGGGGGCTGTCACCCTGACCTTGTGCAGCACTCTGCTCCCTATCGGCCTTGGGGTTTTCATCCGCTACAAATACACACGGCTGGCAGACATCCTCGTGAAGGTAAGCTGAGCAGAGACCTGCCTTTCCATCGGAAAACGATACGTGTGGCTCCGGGCTGAATTGTGCAAACCTCGGTGATCTTTTCTTGCAGACGTTTCATGACCTGACCGGGTAACAGAGTGTAGCATTGATGGTAACTAGTTGGGTAATGAAATGTCTGCAGGCAAACAGCCAAGCTCAGGGGAGCACCAAGGACACCACGGACCTGTCCTTACCTGGTGGAAGAAAATGCTTCTGGCTCCCCTATTTGAGTAACTAAGGAAGTTTTGCACATCCCACCTGTCAGATCTTGCACATCCTACCTGTCAGCATCTTTATCAGCCACTCAGAACAGATCAAGGTGGAATCTCAGAATCTCATTTGTCAGATTTTTCCGAAGGGAAGAAAGGCTTTAGTTACAGAATCCTGGAAAACCGGGTCTTTTAGCCACCTTTTATCATGAGTTTATTCAGGTAGAGCCTCTTTCATTCTCTTTCTAAATTGCTCTTCATGGGAGAGGATACACCCAACCTGCCAAATAATTTAGCTTGGTAAGATCGGTTTCTGATCTCATCATTCCAACTTCCAGGAATTGCTGTTATTTTCAAGCTGATTGAAATGTTGTCTTCAAAAATATCCACTCTTCTTCTTCTTAGGTATCAGTGTCAGACTGACAGAATACTCTTATATTTTTGAAGTTAAGTACAGCAGGTGGTCTTCCCCAGTCACCTGGCATTTCCCCCGAGGTTTTGTAAAGATAACATATAAAGTTCAGAAGATCATCAATGAACGTGGAATACTGTGTCCAGTTTTGGTCACCACGATACAAAAAAGATGTTGAGACTCTGGAAAGAGTGCAGAGAAGAGCAACAAAGATGATCAGGGGGCCAGAGGCTAAAACATATGAAGAACAATTGCAGGAATTAGCTATGTCAGTGGTGGCGAACCTATGGCACGCAGAGCCCTCTCTGTGGGCACGCGCCATCACCCCAGCACACGTGGTCTCTAAAAGTTCGCCATCACTGGTCTAAGGCCAGCCAGCCTGGAGCCGCCATTGGGGAGCCCACCATCCCACCCACCAGAGATCCCCTGGATCTGCCCCAACCCTGCCCGGCTCCCACAGGTGTCCCTCCCCATAAGCAACATCGAGGTGGCCACGCCCACCCAGGCCATGCCCACCCAGTCTGCCATGACTACTGCAGCCACACCCATCCAGTGGCCATGCCCACCCAGTCTGCCACGCCCACTGTAGCTGCGCCTGAGTGGGCCACACCCACCCGGCACCCGGCGATACATAAGTGGATTTTGGGTTGCAGTTTGGGCACTCGGTCTCTAAAAGGTTCGCCATCACTGAGCTATGTCTAGTCCAGGGGTAGGCAACCTTGGCTCTTTTATGACTTGTGGACTTCAACTCCCAGAATTCCTGAGCCAGCATGGCTCAGCTTGGAAACCTCTCCCTTTCCCCTCAGCATGGCTGGCTCAGGAATTCTGGGAGTTGAAGTCCACGAGTCATCAAAGAGCCAAGATTGCCTACCCCTAGTCTAGTCTAACGAAAAGAAGAACTAGGGGTGACATGATAGCAGTCTTCCAATACTTGAGAGGCTGTCACAAAGAAGTGGGGATCGGCCCATTCTCCAAAGCCCCTGAGGGCAGGACAAGTAGTAATGGGTGGAAGGTTATTAAAGAGAGATTCAACCCAGAATTAAGGAGAAATTTCCTGACACTTTGAGCTAATCCCTGGAACAGCTTGCCTCCATAAGTCGTGGCTGCTCCATCACTGGAGATTTTCAAGAAGAGGTTGAGCATCCATTTGTTTGGAATGGCATATACTTGTTATTCTACGTTCTCTCAGCACCACAGAACGCAATTCACCTGGTCTCGGTGGTTTAAACGCATTGGAAATATATTTGTTTTCCCTGACCATGTTTCTGTTAACTTAGGACTTCAAATGTGTCGCTTCATCTTGTTCCTCATATGGAACACACAGTCCCAAGATAAGAGTTGAATATTTTTGTTTTTGTTGTCAAATGTCAGGGGGTTGCAGTTATCACTGGTCACTCTTTGTTCTTCCATTTATTCAGAATATATATAAAGTCCTTTTTGCTTCTCTGACACCTCTACCTATTTGTATGTACTTAATGGCCTGTCCTTCCTGCCATGTCCCACCCTGTGTCCTTCCCATTTTCAATTTGCCATCAAGCTTTTTGTAGTCATAATGGTGGCTTATTTTTTCCCTGATTTGAATTGCTTCTCATTGAGTCTTTAGGCTATATCCTTTTTTTTTTTTAACTTTTTATTTATAAAACAATTTAAAAAAAACATTGGATTTGACGTGACCTTCCAGTATATACATTCTTATCAGATTATACCATATTATACCATATTATACCATGGCTATATCCTTTTTAAAGGAATGCCCATCCCCATTTCCCATTAGTTCTCATGCCATGGAGTCCTTTATTTTGAAATTATTAAAATCTGATTTCTTGAAGTCCAGGATATGCATTTGAATATAGTCAATATAGTTTTGTTTTCTTTAAATTCTAGAATTCCAGAATTACACAGTCGTTTCCCTGTGACATTTCTGGAGTTTCCATTTTAATCTCCCTTGCTGATTAATATCAAATCAAGGACTTCTGTTTCTCTCGTGTGGCGTTTTGCTTTCTGAAGCATACAGTTGTTAACAAGCCATATTCACAATCACCTGCAGAGCTCATGCTTAGCTGAGTGCATCTCCCAGCAGATGTCACGGTAATTAAAGATCTTGTTGTTCCCTGTCCTCTTGAGTTACAAATTGATTTTGGAACGCATTTATCTGTAGCTTCTCCCTGATGGAGTGATTGACAATAAACATCAGCCCTTATTACTCTTGTTTGTCTACTTACTTTAAGCCAGGAATTCTCAAAGTATAACCAAATTAATGCCTTAGGAATTCAGGTGGATGGCCTTTTGTCCTTTAAACGAATTGTAACCTAATTCAGAAGTCTCCAACCTTTCTCAGTTGGCGGACCGGAGGGAAAGGGAAGCATTTTATGGTTGCGCCCACATACAAACAGGGTCGTGAGCACGCGCGATGCAAATGGGGCCGTGCTAGCGCCCGTGTGACACTCGCTAGCACCGCCCCGTTTTTGCTGTGCGGCGCCCATTTTCACCATGTGGTGCCCCATTTTCATGGTGGTGGTGCTAGCACGAGTGGGGGTAAGTGCGCGCGCACGC